GAGTCACCTCAGGGTCTGCTCGGGACTACGGACACACAGACAGTGGACCACGTCGTACGTGGCCCCCTGTTGCTCAAATAGAGCAGCCTCCACGGCTAACCATAGTCCGCCCGTGCAGCCCCACACACTCACACAGCAGCCACACACAGTCACCACAACACAACAACAAAATAACACCACAGACCGTACCATAGCCACTACAGACCGCATAACACACACAACCGCACCACCACGCACGCGCCGCCGCTAACAACTCCTGGTTCCCCCTACAATCTGCACGGTATGTCAGACCAGGATATTCCGTAATGTGACATCAGTCAAGTGCAACACCTGCCTTGGCTGGTGCCACTTTAGGGCATGCTCAGGTCTGCGTACCACGCGAGATTGGACGGGGAACTTCGAGGGCCCGTGTTGCGCTGCTCGGTCGCAGACGCCAATTGCGACGCCCCCCACCACCACCACAGGGCGGCAATCACCTCAGCAGCACACACAGCCAACGGCGGCAAGAACATACACCTCACTCACACCCCACATCACGACACGTCACCCGAACCACATGAAGCTCCTTCAATTCAACTGTAACGGGCTACAGAGCAAGATTGAGGAGATAACCGTCTTCATGTGTCGGCATGGTATATTAATAGCTGCGGTCCGAGAGACGAAGTTGCACAGCAATTCAACTTTGTTGAATTGCGCCGGGTACAACGTGCACCATCGAGATCGCGAGCGAGATAATGGTGGTGGCCTAGCGTTCATCACGCACCACACCGTGCAGTATCGTCTTATCGAAGCAGACATCGACCGCAGGGATACCACCCTAGAATGTCAGGGCATCGCTATCCGGTCAGGCGATGTCGAGCTCGAAATATTCAACATATACATACCCCCTGTCACCTGCTGCCCGGCAGGATATCACCCTGATATAGGTGCGCTCCTCAGAGGTGAAAACCGTATGGTAGTAGGTGACTTCAATGCGCACCACGATCTTTGGCACTCAAGCCTGTCAAACGATCGTAGGGGAACAGACTTGGCTGAGCAGATAGACGATTCGACATTCTGCACAATGAACAACGACGCACCCACCAGGATTATGGGTAACTGCAGTAGCTCGCCAGACATCACAATAGTCAGCGCTGGTCTGATAAACAGCATAACGTGGCGACCTATGCTGACTCTAGCATCAGCCCATCTACCCATAGTCATCTCGATTGATAAACCAACCGACTTTGCCTCCGCCAAACACCGGACCTATAACAACTTTTCTAAAGCTGATTGGAAAGGTTACGCGGAGTTTACTGAAAATACCTTCACATCGCTCCCCACACCAACCGACGTCCACCTCGGTGAACGTAAGTTCCGCAGGGCTATCACTGCTGCTGCAGCTCGCTTCATACCGGCAGGGTGTATATCGGACCCACGTCCAAACTTCCCTGCCGAAGCGGCTGTTTTAGCCAATGAGCGTGATAGCCTTCGTCAGGCCGATCCCGGAGATCCCCGTATCAGGGATCTCAACGCGGAGATTCGGCAACTTGTAAACGTACATAAGCGAAAGAAGTGGGAGGAGCATCTGAAGACTTGTAACTTCACCTCTGGTGTGAGCAAGCTTTGGTCAACCGTGAGGTCATTGTCTAATCCGACGAAGCACGACGACAGAGTCGAAATTTCCTTCGGCGACCATGCTTCGTCGGACCCGGAGCGTTGCGCGAGCTTTTTTAGCCGGCAGTTCATACTGCATCCTCCGGTGGACAAAGCCAAGCGTCGAGAGACCAGAAGGCTGCACAAACTGCCAACAACTTGTGCCCCCCTTGCTTTCACTTGCGGTGAAGTTCAGGTGGCCATCGGGAAGGCGAAAGCCTCCAAAGCCATGGGTCCCGACGGAATATGCATGCTGATGCTGAAAAATTTGGGTCCTGCGGGGGTAGCGTACCTAACGGAGGTCCTCAATCTGTCAATGGCCACTCTCATCATCCCAGACATCTGGAAGGTGGGGAGAGTGGTCCCACTGCTCAAACCGGGGAAACCTGCCAACAAAGGAGATTCGTATCGTCCGATTACACTCCTTTCCCCGGTAGCGAAGACACTCGAGGCCTTGCTACTCCCGTACTTCACAAATCACCTGACCCCAGCGAAGCATCAGCATGGTTTCCGCAAAGTGCACAGTACAACAACAGCACTTAACGCCATAAACACTCAGATAACTCGTGGCCTTAACCGTAACCGTCCCTGTGAGAGAACGATTCTAGTAGCGTTGGACTTGTCAAAGGCGTTTGACACCGTCTGCCATTCCACGCTACTAGAAGATATAGAGGCCTCCTCTCTCCCACAGAGGCTCAAACGGTGGTCGGCAAATTATCTAAGTGGTCGACATTCGTCGGTTATGTTTAGAGACAAAACGAGTAAGCAGCGAAAAATAAAACAGGGGGTTCCTCAGGGTGGTGTCCTTTCCCCGCTACTGTTTAACTTTTATATTTCAAAACTCCCTCAACCACCAGAGGGAGTCTCGATTGTCTCCTATGCCGACGATTGCTCGATTATGGCGACTGGGAATGGAATTGATGACCTGTGTTCGAAAGTAAACGGCTATCTCTCCGAACTTTCTCGCTTCTTCACTGCAAAGTGTCTAGCCCTCTCCCCTACGAAATCCTCCGCGACCCTGTTCACAACCTGGACGAAGGAGGTCAGGCTACCGCTGGGGATTCACGTCGATGACACACCAATTCCGACGGTGAATAACCCCAAAATACTCGGAGTAACATTCGACAGCCTGCTCTCCTTCTCTGTGCACTCAACCGCTATTGTCAATAAAGTACAGAGCCGCAACAAGGTCCTCAAGTCGCTAGCCGGCAGTACTTGGGGCAAAGACAAAGAAACGTTGCTGGCAACATACAAGGCAATAGGCCGGCCGGTTTTGAACTACGCAGCGCCAGTGTGGTCGCCAGGGACTAGTAGGACGCAGTGGACGAAGCTACAGACTGTACAAAACACCGCACTCAGGACAGCGACGGGATGCCTCTTGATGTCGCCTGAACACCACCTGCACGGCGAGGCGCAAATGCTCCCGGTAAAGGAGCATAATATAATGCTCTGCAAGCAGTTCCTGATCGGGAGCCACAGAAGTGGCCACCCAAGCAGACAGCTGCTTGCAGAGGAGCCCTCGCCTAGGCACGTCAGGAGGCATCTATATGAACTAACGGACGAAGTCCAGAGGTTCATTAAGCAACCTCTGGACCCGACAGCTTACAGACAGGCCCTTAACGGCATTCACAGGGACTCAGTCTCGAGTTATGTAGACTCTAGACCTGTGAATGCCGTTCCAGGCACACCACCCCCGGACATAGACGAGACGGAGCTTCATCTGCCTCGGGAGACACGCACTACACTCGCACAACTTCGCTCCGGCTACTGCAGCAGGTTAAACTCCTACTTGAGAAGGCTGAATGAGGATGTGCCGAACGAATGTCCGGCATGCGGAGAGACCCCACATGACTCGACACATCTCTTCGCATGCCCGGCAAACCCGACATCCCTAACGGCCTTGTCCCTATGGGCAAACCCCGCAGAAGCTGCACGCTTCCTAGGGTTGCCGTTAGTGGAACTTGACGACAACGACTGAGATACCAACCGATCTGGGCGGGGTTGTTGTAGCCGCTACAACAACAACAACAACCTTTCTTTTGGTCTGCATTCCTTGTGCCTTGCTTTTCTAATTTCTGATAAAAATTGGTTTTTACAAAAAAATATATGAAAAATAAATAATATAAAAAAAACTTTTTAATATACAACGCTTTTATA